GTTTTTGGATGGTTGGTGGTGCTGCCATGGGTGCTGCCCTACTACTGGATGAAGCTCCTGGTGCAGTGGATGGAGCTGCTGGGTATGCACTGGATGCAACTACTGGTTGAGGCTCAGGTGCACTGGTTGGAGATGCTGCTGGCACTGGTGCAGTTCCCATTGGGGAGTTCTTGGCTTTGGTGGGCATAGGTGGTCTCTCTGGCTTCCTCCATGGTGCTGTTTGGTATGGCTTCCCATATGTTTGCCAAAACTTGCCCCATGGACCAGATTTGCATGTTGTGCCACGACGTGATACTGTGGAAGTAGTCACTATGGGTTCAGCTGCTGGTCCACTGGAAGGTGCTTCAGTTGTGGAAGCATCTGTGGCTGTGGTGGCTCCTGGTGGGTTGGGACCAGCTGGTTCCCCTTCTTCATCTACATCCATGGCGGCTTGCTGGTACCACCTGGCTTCCATGGCTTCTTGGGACCTTTGGTCCTCCCACTGCATCAATTTGTTCTCCAACCTCATGTTCTCATATTGGATGAACCTCAAGCCATCATGGCATTGCATGGCATCACGTTCCATGGACTGCCATTTGGCTTCATCACCTTCTGTGATGAATGGCTCATTTGGCCCATCCATTGGTGGTCTCTCCATGGCTCAGCACCAGTATTGGGTGATTGTTGGTGAATTATGGTTTGGTTTGTTGTTATTCATCAGTATAAATTGTGGTACCATTGGCATTAGAATAGGTTGAGTGATACCATACTAAATGTAAAATATATTGTATTTATATAGTGGCTAGCTATTTTTAATATTCCAACACTATGTAAATATAATCAATATATATGTATTTGTAAATGTATTTTTCTATATGGAATCAATTAGCTCATGCTTATTTTAGGATTGAAATTTCTAGATTTAATCGTTTGAACCTAGTCTGTTTTTGGAAAAAATATGTTCAAATATTTGAACCTAAATTTGGTTTATAAAATAGTTAGGTTCAAATATTTGAACCTAACTTTGGCTTAAAAATAGTTAAGTTCAAATATTTGAACCTAACTTTGGTTTATAACAGTGTTAAGTTCAAATATTTGAACCTAACTTTGGTTTGAATATAGTTAAGTTCAAATATTTGAACCTAACTTTGGTTTATAAAAGAGTTAAGTTCAAAAATTTGAACCTAACTTTGGTTTATAAGAAAGTTAAGTTCAAATATTTGAACCTAACTCAAAAATCTTGGATTTTCCATATTTGCATACATCGTTGATTGCAAGTTTTTTTTCAAAATAGTTTGCTGTAATGCTGTTTCTTTTCAAATGTGTTCGATGAAAATCTTGGTTGGCTTGGACCAAAATAATTGGCACTTTAACTCATTGATCACCATGTGTGATACAATTTAATTGTAAAAAATTCTTCTTGAAACCAGATTTGAATGCCAAAAACTGAATGCTTAGTTTTCGATTATTATGGTTGAAGATGGTATAGTACTTCTATACCTAACCCATCCAAATGAATAGCAAAACCATGTTGTAAACAAAACCATGCACCTTCCATTGTAATGCCATGAATGGCCAAACAACATGTTGGAAATGCAATGGGTTGCATTCAATGCCATTTTGGCAACCACACAGTAAATCAATGCAATGCCAAACCTGGAAGGCAACCAACAGACATGACAACATGATGTAATGCCATAAGATGGCCAATGGAACTCTTTTCTCATCAAAACAATGGCAGCTCACCCAAACCACTTATGGACCAGCTTCTGGGCCTCTGAGTGTTCCCTCTCATGGATCATCTTGGCCAAGCACCAGGTGGCAATCATCTCAGTGGAACCTGGGCTGGTCTTCACTCTGTAGCCCACCTTGGTCCCATCACTCTTGGCCACCAGCTGGTACATGGAGTTCTGGCAGTAGTTGGGTGGCACTTCATACCTGGGCTGCAGTGGATGAGGTGTCACTGCAACCCCATGGAAACAAAACTCATCTACATGAGGTCATCAGAAACTTCATTCATCCAAGATGCTGGTGGACAGATTGGTCATTGAAGAAGATGGCCATGGATCTTTGGCTGGGTGGCCCTGTGAGGCAGTGGTCATCTATGTCCAACCTTGGCATGGCTAGTTAGTTCACTGGTGGACAGTGGGCTGCTGGTGCCCTGATGGTCCAAACAGCTACCCATGCACAACATCACCAAGGGACCTGGCCAGCAAGTTGGAAACAAAGAAAATGTAATGCCAAAAAATGGCAAATGTATAATGCCACAAAATGGCAACACAATGGTACATGAAAAAAATGTCTGGCAGCAATACTGGAAACTAAAATATGGAAACTTGAATGCCAATGGGTAAAATTCCATAGACATAAGCCTGAATGAAAAAAACGACACTGCAAGGTGCAAGGCTATGGGGTGTAATGCCACCTGGTGGCTGCAACAAACTGGTGGGTGTAATGCAACAATGGTTGTAATGACTAGCTGGCAGCAGAGCCATGGTGGCACACCCTTTTTCTCTTGGAAGACACTGCAGCCTTGGTCATGCTGGCCATGGTGGCCATGGCTGGGCTTCAGTTGGCCATCACTTGGTTAGTGGCTTCAGCTGGCCTTCATGGATGGTGACCCCATCCTTTGGTGGATCCCCTTGGCCATCACCATGGGCACCCATGGCTTGCCACACATGGCACATCTGGGATGGCCCCAGATCTTGTGGAGCCACACCCATGATGGGCAGTTGGTGGTCTGGCAGGCCACTGCCAGGGTGTTTGGGTCATGGGCCATGTTCTTGCTCTTCATGGCATTCTGGTTCTTGGTGGCAGGCTTGGTAGTCTTCATGGCCTTCATTCCCTTCATGGCCTTCATGGCCTTCAGCTTCATGGCCTTCATGGCCTTCAGCTTCATGGTCTTCATGGCCTTCAGCTTCATGGCATTCAGCTTCATGGCTTTCATGGGCTTCATGGTGGCGCCCTTCATGGTCTTCATCTGGCTGTTGCTCTTCATGGCCATGGCTACAGCACAGTTTGGAGGCTGCTTGGGCTATTGGTGGCAAAAGCTGGTCACCTTGGGCACTGAAAGGCCAAGGTTGAAAGGCCACAGTTGTTCTCCTGATTACAACATGGCTGTCACTGTTTCTGAAAAAAGCATTGGTAAAATAAAACACATGCTGGTGCAATGCCATTGGGGGCTTTAATGCCATAAATTGGATGTAATGCCATAAATTGGCTGCAATGCCAGCTGGTGGCTGCAACAAACTGGAGGTAATGCCACAGTGGCTGTAATGCCATATAGGCTAGCTAGTTGGCAGCAGAGCCATGGTGGCACATCCTTTTTTCTCTTGGAAGACATTGCAGCCTTGGTCATTTTGGCCATGGTGGCCATGGCTGGGCGACAGTGGGTCCCCAGGCCTTCTTGGATGGTGACCCCACCCTTTGGTGGATCCCCTTGGCCATCACCATGGGAACCCATGGCTTGCCACACATGGCACATCTGGGGTGGCCCCAGATCTTATGGAGCCACACCCATGATGGGCAGTTGGTGGTCTGGCAAGCCACTGCCAGGGTGTTTGGGTCATGGGCCATGGTCTTGCTCTTCATGGCAGTCTGGTTCTTGGTGGCAGGCTTGGTGGTCTTCATGGCCTTCATTCCCTTCATGGCCTTCATGGCCTTCAGCTTCATGGCCTTCATGGCCTTCAGCTTCATGGTCTTCATGGCCTTCAGCTTCATGGCATTCAGCTTCATGGCTTTCATGGGCTTCATGGTGGCGCCCTTCATGGTCTTCATCTGGCTGTTGCTCTTCATGGCCATGGCTACAGCACAGTTTGGAGGCTGCTTGGGCTATTGGTGGCAAAAGCTGGTCACCTTGGGCACTGAAAGGCCAAGGTTGAAAGGCCACAGTTGTTCTCCTGATTACAACATGGCTGTCACTGTTTCTGAAAAAAGCATTGGTAAAATAAAACACATGCTGGTGCAATGCCATTGGGGGCTTTAATGCCATAAATTGGATGTAATGCCATAAATTGGCTGCAATGCCAGCTGGTGGCTGCAACAAACTGGAGGTAATGCCACAGTGGCTGTAATGCCATATAGGCTAGCTAGTTGGCAGCAGAGCCATGGTGGCACATCCTTTTTTCTCTTGGAAGACATTGCAGCCTTGGTCATTTTGGCCATGGTGGCCATGGCTGGGCGACAGTGGGTCCCCAGGCCTTCTTGGATGGTGACCCCACCCTTTGGTGGATCCCCTTGGCCATCACCATGGGAACCCATGGCTTGCCACACATGGCACATCTGGGGTGGCCCCAGATCTTATGGAGCCACACCCATGATGGGCAGTTGGTGGTCTGGCAAGCCACTGCCAGGGTGTTTGGGTCATGGGCCATGGTCTTGCTCTTCATGGCAGTCTGGTTCTTGGTGGCAGGCTTGGTGGTCTTCATGGCCTTCATGGACTTCAGCTTCATGGTTTTCATGGCCTTCAGCTTCATGGCATTCAGCTTCATGGCTTTCATGGGCTTCATGGTGGCACCCTTCATGGTCTTCATCTGGCTGTTGCTCTTCATGGCCATGGCTACAGCACAGTTTGGAGGCTGTTTGGGCGATTGGTGGCAAAAGCTGGCTGGTGACCTTGGGCACTGAAAGGCCAAGGTTGGCAATAGTTGCTCAGTTGATTACAACATGGTTGTCACTGTTTCTAAGCAAACATTGTTAAAATAAAACACATGCTGGTGCAATGCCATTGATGGCTGTAGTAATGCCATAAACTGGCTGCAATGCCATACAAGCTGCAGGTATGAAAGACCATTGGCAAATACTACCCTTGGAGAAGTTGTACAACATGAATTGCTATTGGAGGCTATGATGCTATATACACTGTTTGCAATGCAATGCCATTTATTGGCTGTAGTGGCAAGCAAATAGAAGTAGGTAATGCCAATGGTGGCTGCCATGCCAAAGATGGCTAAAACTATGCTGCATGCTCCTTTTTTCACCATTGTGAGAATCTGCATGGTTGCCATCTTGTTGATGGATGGTCAAGCCTTCCTTCTCTTCTTGGGTGCATGGCTGGGATTGTCTTCAGCATCTCCTTGGTCATCTGCTGCAGGATCAATTTTCTGGTAATTCAAGGTTTCATTGGGGCCAACCTTGTCCATGTTGGTGAGGCATGGGATTTTGAAATTGGAGCCCATGGTGTGTAAGGTGATGGTGCTGAACTCCATATTGTAATCATTTTCAGCTGGCTTGCACCACCAAAATGGAACCAAAGATTCCTGTGGCTGTGGCTGCCTCTCCCAATCATGGAATTGCTTCCAAGGGTGGATGTGCCATGTGACACCACCATGTTCCATAGTGATAGCACCCTTGGGAAGCTCATCCTTGGCTTTGGACAAGTGCCCCATGGGAATGAGCTTGAGCCCCTTGGGTTTCTTGATGGCTTCCAAGGTAAAGAGGCTTGCTGGGTGCAATGCAAAAGCCACCTGCTGGGGAGACACAGCATGCTTTTGGCAAGCTTCATGGAGTGCCAGGGTGGCTTCCATCCTGGCAACCTCTTCCTTGCAGAATGGCAAAGCTTGTGGAAGCATATCCTGGGTCCTGTGGGCTGGGTACATCTCAGGCATCTTGGCTTTGGAGACCTTCCATTTTGACAACTCTTCAAATGGAATTTGCAAGGTGATGGGTGGTGCCAGCACAGGCTTGTGAACCATGGTGGCCTTGGAGTCATCAAGTGCAGTCAATTCAAACACCTTGCCAGGGTAGTCCTTCTGCTGGTTGTACCTGGGAAAGGTAGAAGGATGCAAATCATTACTGTAAGGTGGCAGCCAGTTAAAAAAAAAAGTATGGGAATAAAAGCAGTTTTGCAATGCAAGATGCAGCTTGTTCAGCTTGATGTGTGGGTTTTGGAACAAGGCCATGTCCTGGGAGGAAGCTTTGGCAAGATCCCTTGGTACCAATGGCTCTGCTGCCTGAAGTGACTCTACCTTTGGGTTGGCCATTTCCTGGGTGAAAGCTTCCAAAATTTCATCCTGGGTCTTCCATGTCTTGGAAGTCTCTTTGCCCCATTTCTGCTTCTGCAGGATGAACAGGATGGTTCGAATCATCATCCTTCCAAGACATTTGGTGGCATGTTGCTGGTCCTGGCACTTTTCCACAACATCAAGTGCACCTTGCAATTGCCTTTCAGCCAGCTGCAACTTGGAAATGTTGGTCTTGCTCTTCAGCTTTTCAATGTCTGCTTTGGTCACCAACTTCTGGATCCCATCCTGGTGCTTCCAGGTGGTCAACATTGTGGCCCACAATGCAATCCTGCACAATGTGAACACTTCACCTGGTTGCTTAAAATTGGTGTAGGCCAGGCTCTCCATCAAATCTTGGCCAACAAGAAGCTGGATGTTGCTATTTCTGCCTTGGCTAAACACAAGGGCAAATGCCATCATGTCCACAATCCATAGGAAACAGATACACATATATACATGGGCAAGCACCAAAATATCTATGCATGTATGCAAGGCAACCTTTGGTGAGTTTTATGTATTATATGGAATGCCACCAGGCAGAAACTGCAAGTATGTGCTCTGTGCATGCTTCATCAAATCCACCCAGGCACTGATGGCTTGCAACACCTTAATGAATGGGAAAGCAGGTGGGCCACCACAATAGTTTTGGACCATGTGGGTGAGGCACTTGAGCACTTCTGCTGGACATGTGTTTATGGCCAAAACTTTCTCTTTGGCTTCTTGGAGTTCAAGCCCAAGGGAAAAGTATTGGCTCAACTGAGCAGCTAGTTCAAGCTCATTGGCTGCTTTCATAACCTGGTTTGGGGAATTCAAAGCGCTCTGCAGCATGGTTGGAAGTTGTGGGAATTGGGTTTCCACCAAATGGGACAAAATTGTCCATGTCCAACCTTGGGTAATCAGATCCCAGCATGGGTCATCTTTGGAAATGTCCAGACCCCCTTCCAAGTTCAAGGTCTTTGGAGGGCATCCATGTTGGATAGCTCGAAGAAAAGCTGTGGTATGGCTGCTGGACAAGGTCAAATAACCTGGGTTGAACAAATGGTGTGGGAAAACCATAAATGGATAAAAATGGTGCCTACAAGTGCAATGCCAAGAAGCGCTCTTGGCCACTGATGGGTGCCAACCCTCCATCTGCTTCTTGGACCAGCATGGAATTGGCATTTACTTGGTCTTGCCTTTTCACTGGGTCAATGGCCAGCTCTATGGCCAATGAATGGCCAATGAGTTGTCGGCTCATCCCAACTTGGAGCATCTTGGCACCTTTGTCCCACATGTCCAAGCAATTGACCATCGCCTTGGACCTGTTCTGTGGGTGGCACAACAGTTGGCCAGGGGTCAATGTGGAGGTGTAAGCCAAGCCATACTTGGACAAAACCTTCACCACTTGGTCCAACAATTGGTTCACTGGCTTCTTGGAGTTCAAAAGGTCTGTAATTTGTTGAACACATACTGGGTCAACCACCACTTCTGCTGGTGAATTTGAAGCTCCTGGTTGTGCTGCAGCCATGGGTGTGCAGCTGTTGGTGCAACCAACACAATCAGCTATGGTACTTCACAGGAGGTTGTTCCTTTGAACCAATTGCAGGTATGGAATGCCAGTCTGGTTCCACACAAAAAAATGAGAAAATGAAATGCCATTCAGGCTTCCCCAAATGCCACATGGCAACAGCATGTATCAAACAAATAGCAGATGAAATGCCATTCCTGGCATCAGCTCCATGTGCAATCCCTTTTACCTCCAGCAAGCAAGTCTTGCAAACTGTGCTTTGCTTTGGTTCTTGGGCTGCTGCCTTGCCCCTCTTGTATGGCTTCCTGGTGTCCAAGCTCTCCTGTTGGTTCTGGAGAAGAAGGAAAAATGGCTCCAGCTGGTCTTTTTTCAATTGGATCACCACATCGCCTTTGGTTGGCCTTTGGCCTTGCATCAGGCATTGAATGTTGGTGCCACACAATGGCACTTCCACAATCTCTGACTCATCTGTGGTTTTTCTCTTTTTGGGCTGAGGTTCAGCTGGCTGATCTTCAAACATGGTGTCAGTGGTGGCATCTGCCTTGGCCCATTCTTGGTTCCTCCTTGTAATGAAATCTTGGAATCCTGGGTGGTTGGAAAAGGAAGCATTGGCCCTGCTTCTCCCAAAGAATAATTGGTTGATGGAGTAGTGGGTGGGCCTGAGCTTCAGCCACTGGCAGCCATCATGTTCCACAAGCAAGGCATGTGGGATTGCAACTGCTTTGGCACCATTGCAGCTGATGGTGACTTGGGTTTGGATTTCAATATCCATGGTGGGCACTTTGAACTGCTTGCTGCAAATGAAATCCAAAAAGGCAAAGCAAACCATGCAAGATCACACACAGAAACTATACAAGAAGCACACCAATGTAAAGCCAATATATTGGCATGCAATGCCATGTAGGCACACAAGACATGATACTGTGGAACCAAATTTTAACATGATACTGTGGAACCAAATTTTGCAATGCCAAGTGGCCAATCCAGGAAACATGAGACTGTCCACAAGTTTTCTGGTTTAAAAAAAGCAAAAAAGATATTGTTTTACAATAAAGCAAAAATGACTTAACTTTTTGCTAACTCTTGCTAACTTTTAGATAAAAATTAAGTTGAGTTATGTAAGATAGCTACTTTTTAGCAAAAAGTAGATAACATACCTAATCCTGCTAACTAGTTATACTTTGATGAGGTATTGTTATAACTTGTTACACCTTGGTTATAACTTGTTAGACCAGACTTATAACAAGTTAGTAACACATCTAACTTTGTTAACTTGTTATAAAAAACCGGATTATGTAAGGCTGTCCATCCAAGGCACTCCTCGAACAAATCGCGCCGTGCTATGTTCAACACGTATGACTTACCTGTGCCTGGGCCGCCATGAAGCGCCCAGCGCAACGCTTCGGTATTGGTGTCTGCCGCGCCGCCGCGCTATTGTCCGGACACAGCTTCGTGTTTCACCCGGGCGCAGATGGTTTCGATGAATGCTAGCTGTTCCGGATTGCATTTGCTCGTTCCGCGCAAGTCGCGTAGGAAGGCATCGACTTTCTCACATGTTGCTCGTGCCTCGGCTTCGCATGTGCCCCGCGTGGGAATCTTTCGAACTGCAACTTTGTCGGCTTTTTTTGTGTTTAAAGCTTTGATTGCCCGACGAACTGCGGCTGGATCGTGTGCATGGAACGCATTGTTGCTCTGCGTCTTTGTCTTCGTCACGCACATAGCCCTTCGTGCATGATCCTGCATGTGATAATGCATTTGCCAAAGTTTCTCGTCACACAGCTTGCCTGTTTCACCAGCAATCCCCGATTCTTTACCGGGGTCGGCGGCAGGGGCGGCAGCCCTTAAATAGTTAATAATAGTAGTATGACAGTAAATAATAGTACAGGATACTTGTTGGTTACTTACTATTTAAAGAAGGTTAATAGATGGACGACTAAATTCCAATTGGTATAGTTAATAGGGCTACAATAGACAAACAGGGGGTCGGAACAGAAACCCAAAACAAGGGGAAACTAAACCGCCAAACCCTGTGCATGCAAACAGAAGCACCTTTTCTAGACAGGCACTTGAGCCATACCGTCGAATAGCGGAGTGATACCCAAACCGGTAGTTGTTGGATTGGGGACTCCCTACCTAAAGTGTGACTACTCTACATGTATAACGCTTCTATACATGTGGTGCTACATCTGTACATATGATTGGATGTACTATTTCGGATGTGATGGAATCATAGCTATGGCATGCCTACACTAGACCTACTACCTATGCTATACATAGTGGGGCTCAGGGGTCGATATATTTCAACTCCCCCCTTGCCTGTTCCACACGCACTGCGCATTGGCAGTATCCTAAGCGACTACTGTCGCGTGAACGGACGTTCACAGCGACCTATGCTTTGGACTTAAGGTCTAAGGGAAGGTCAGTACGGATTCCTAAAAGGATCAGTGCTGCTGCCCATTTGTGTGGAGGCAATGCCTTGGTGAATATGTCTGCCGCCTGATCGTCCGTGTGGGTGTACTCTATTTCGGCAGAGTCATCTCGGAAGACTTCAGACAGGCAAGACAGGTTTACTTTGTGCGTTCTAGTTATATGGCGAAGCTTGGGACTATATCCTTTCTTCACAACTAGGATTGTTGCTTGGTTATCTTCGTGGACCTTAAGGGTTACGGAGCGTGCAAGCAACAGCTCCCATAACTGTAAGGCAGGCAAGCCTTCTTGATAAAGCGAACGGGCTAAACTAACAACCTCGCTTTCCGTGGTCGATCTAGAAGTGGATGTTTGGCGCTTGCTAATCCATGCAAGTGGGAAGAAGGAACTAGGGCCAGTCAAAACCAGAAAGCCACCAGAGGTTGAGCGTGCAGAAGATCTGTCACCGGCGAAGTCGGCATCGACAAACAGTCTGAGCTCTAGGTCTTCAGGCTTGTCCTGAATGGTACCTACTAACCTGTAGTGTGGGGTTGAGGCTATGTACTGGATTAATCTTAGGACCTTCTTATCATCCCCCCTGGACCACGACTGGACTTTTGTGGCCAGATCATTGATAGGCTTGATGATATCGGGACGTGCAAGTCTACCTAACCAAAGGGCTTTCATCAAAATCTTACATGCATTTGGAGCTAATTCCCCTTTAGTTTCATCATCTTCAATGGTGATGGACCCCTCAGGTGGAAATGGCGTGGCGGCATGCTTGAGTTTGGTGATACCGGTTATTGATTTATACAAATCTACGGTCTGCTGAGCGTAGTCTGCCATATCAAAAACCATGCCATTTTGGGCTTGAAAGGCTGCACATTTTTCATGACCTTCGGTCTTGGGAAGTGGGGTAACAACATGGTTGCGTCCAAGAATCCTATAGATGGGCTCTGGGGGTTCTATGTCTACCACAGAGGTTAATTTACTCCAGAATGCATCATGCTGGTCGGCGGGGCCAGCTAGAGTTAAATCGTCTACATAAGTTGACAGAAGTAACTTTGTATCTGGAAAGTAAAAGTTTCCTGGGTATTCTAGAACTTCCTGTCCACCAAGGTTCTTGATGATGACTTTCAGGTGTTGTTCCCACAGGCCTCCGGCATCAGGATGACCGTATAAGGCTTTAATTAAGAGGACTACGGGCTTAACAAACTGTTGTTTCCAATACTTAGGGCGGAGCTCCGGGGGAAGCTCAATCCAGGTCTTGTATTTGGAAGAAAACAGTGCTTGGACGTAAGCTTTGACTGCATCTGCAGCCGTCGCGCGGTTACCCGGCAGCGACCCGTACGCCAGGCAGGCGTTTAGCCCTTGGACGGAGGTGGGGTTTGCGCCGAGTTCTTGGTAAACCGCGGCTGCACCATGCTCGTCCTTTGCGCAGTCTCCTCTGTACACGATGTGCCCCTTCATTTTGTGAAGGTGGTCTGCGAGCTCGTAGAATTTAATGGACGCGATGGTCATGAGCTGACCAAAGTGTACAGACACACCCGAAGCCTTAGCTTCTTTGCGCACATCTTCCTTCTCGCGGACCGAGCCAAGATCCCAAGTACCAGCCTTAACCAAACCATCGGCTTCGGCGCGAATTGCGTCAAGGGCCTTGGGGTTGGACAGCATCTCCGCACGGGATAAGAGCTTGGTGACCATTGCTTTGATCTCAGGCGTTGGTGCCTTAGGGTCTTCCAGGTGGAAGGCTTGGGCGATCAATTGTTCGTGGTCAAGAAGTTCTGTAAACAACCTATTAGCGGTGGGGTCTGATTCAACAGCTAGGGCTAAATCTTCAAAACCAGCTAATGAGGATACGTGCTTGAGGTGCTGCTCAATTTCCCTATGGGCTTGAGGTTCGCTAGTTGCCGGTCGGCAAGGCATAGCAGGAACAGACTGCTGGGCACATTTTGAGGGATACAAAGCTTGCGCAATTAAACTAGTCATTTGGGGCGGATACATTGCGGAGCGAGTGGTCTCAGCTCCCTCACATCTGGAATGAGGTTGCTGGCATCGGCACCGCATATCTTCAAACGCCTCTACAATTCGGGGAGAAGTGGTCTTGAGCTTCCATGGCTTCTTGATGGGATAACCATTTCTGTCGGTTAAACCTACGGTACACCCTTCAAAACCAACGGTCATAAACTGGGGGTGTTTCTCAAAGAATGCTACAACGTCAGGCCTTTTCCAGCCAGAGCAAGGTCTTGGCCATTCAAACGTTACAGTACCACCATGATTGAGAACCCTTTCAGCACGTTTGGAAAAACTCTTAAACAACCGTTTGGACTCTTTGACCTGGCGGGCAAGCTTTCTCACGAATGCGGCACCACCCTTCTTCCTATTGATGTACTGCCAAGGGGATCCGGATGTGCAAGGGATAGAGGCCCACATATGTGGAGGTGCAACCTTAGCGGCTTCATCTATCTGATAGTCTAGTTGCTCACATTGTGACTCATCTCCCAGGTCTATCCTATTCTTACAAAGTCTAACATGATTAATGCCATATTCTTGGTGAGTAAAACCCATCTGGGAGTCCTCAGAACAAGCAAATT